CATTTTAATAGCCAAGGGGACCACATCTTTTGATCTCAAATTCATAAAGCTCCATTTTTTACAAGAATGGCAAATAGAACAAGGAAGGCTGTAAATGGTGATATGACTTACAGAAGGTGAAATGCAAGTTCCAATCTATACATAAAATAGAGCAAATTGATATGAACATTAAAAGAAATTATATATATATTAGTAACAACAGCTGCACTATTAAAATTAATTTGCAAAACTGAAAAGATTGGTCTCTGCTTCATATTGATCACTGGATGCATTCCGTTACAATGTGCAAAACTAGGAAGATTTATGCTCATCAGTGTAATAAGGTAAAGCCTTAACATCTGAAGTGCAGTGAATAAATGCTTTAATTAAAATGAATAAGAAGCAAGTCTTCTTTTGGTATGTTGCATATTTTATATTGCCAGAGTTTTAGATGTTCTTAAGATACTCAGATATTTGTTCAAAGAATGACAGTCCATACCCAAAGAGCATATTTGACTGAGAAGGGGAGAAAAATAATGCTTTTGTTGTGTAGTGTCACTGGTGAGATGTATGTCCTAGTTCTGACAGAAGTGCTACATTTCAGAACCCTGTAGCATTAAATGGGGTTTTTTAATTTAAAATTTACACTAGCAGCAAGAACAACAAAGAGATTTTGAAACAAAGAACCCAAATGCAAATCAAAGCAAAATCTGCATTATTGGAAATAAAGAAATTGTCTTTTATTAGTGTTGAATTCAGTTGAATTTATATAGATTTATATTGTTTTGCCTGACTGGAAAGTATGAGCTCAGAAGAGGCTGAGAACTGAAAGCAAAGCAGGAGCAAGCAGTGGCTGGAAGCAATGGGTACAGAAAGGGCTAAACCCTGGGGCTGAGCAATGGGAAGGCTGTTAGATGGCGCTGTCTTTTCTCAGGGCATCTGAGAAAATCTTCTCTCATCTGAAAAAGAAAGATTCAGAGGTAATACTTAAGAAATCTGAGTTAAGAAAGGCCACAAAAAAAAAAAAAAAAAGAAAGAAAAAAAACACAGAAGCTGTAGCAGCACAGCCCGAAGGCTGGTCTTGTAGATGGCGCTGTCTTTTCTCAGGGCATCTGAGAAAATCTTCTCTCATCTGAAAAAGAAAGATTCAGAGGTAATACTTAAGAAATCTGAGTTAAGNAAAAAAAAAAAAAAAAAAGAAAGAAAAAAAACACAGAAGCTGTAGCAGCACAGCCCGAAGGCTGGTCTTGTAGTTTCTGGAAGATTACGATTTATGTGAGGTAATTTTTTTTCTTTCTTTCATCCTTTTTCTCGCTGCTCTGTATCTTTTTGGGGAATAAATAATTCTGTGCTGATTTTGGGCCCTAGTGATCCAGTGTTGTGACAGGATCCTTGGGAAAAGCTCTGGTAAAATCAAAGGCCCCAGTGTTAACCCCTGAAGGTTCAGGGATGCAGAGTCCTTGTTGAAGGGCAGTGACAGCAAATAGTTACAGGCAAAGAGAGAAAAAAGAGAGAAAAGACACATCTGTTGGCAAAAGGTTGTTTCTAAGAGAAAAAGGTGTATAGAGGACTGGTAGTGGACCATCAGACAGCACAGCTGTAGATTTGATGGTCTGTATCACAGCCTGTGCCAGCAATGGCGGCATTGCCTGGCTGGGAGACGGACAGTCAAACCCAGGAATTTTATCGGTTACTACAGGATAGGAAAATGCAGAAGAGTACAGAATATGTCCTTTAATATAAATTATGTAAGAGTACTTAGGTTTTCTCTGGAATATATGGCAATGAAATGTGATATATGTGATGTGACTGTGTTCCAGGAAGGACCTTATGCCTTTAGAGCTGTGTGATACAACAGCCATTTTGGTTTCTGGGTTTCTGAGGTCTTAATAAGACATAAATATGTTGTGCCACATCCTGATGGTCTTGCCTTTTTCTGCTTCTTTTAAGCTAAAAGAAATCACTGTAGACTGAAGACGATTTCTCATTGCTTATGGCAATCACAGCTTGAAGAGAAACTTCTTAATACTCCTGTTGTTAACATTTCTGTACACTGTACTGAGTGGGGAAAAGAGTATGTACAGAAAAAAACCAACTATAACCTTTTTTATTTTTTTTAATTTTATTTTTGAGTGCTTAAGCCACTATTAGTTGGCTAAGACTTGTCTGGCAAGTATGAGTGGAGTCACAGAAAGCAGTCATCTATCTTTCTCTTGGACTGGATTGTGAGTCTTGTTGGCTGGAGTAAGGTCCCTTTACCCTGATATTAGCTTTTTCTTAACCTGTCAGATTAGGAAGATGAAGCCTTGTTAAAGCCAGACACTTCCACTTGGATGCATTTCAGCTGAGCTCTGAGAGGCATTTAGAAAAATCCAGGTTCGATTAAAAAAAGCAGCTTTAAACTTTTGTATAGGTCTCCATATGATGAGCAGCGACACTGTACATTTCTATCTTTCAAAACTCCAGTGGGAACACAGTCATTTTGATTTTACATCTGTCTTGACATGGGTATCTCCCAGTTTTGCCAGGGGAAGTGTATTTATTTAATGATTGATACCATGGTTTCCTCATGTGTTACCTGCCTGAGGCTGACATGGTGTTATTCCTGGGCAGAGGCCCACACGCTCAGGTTTGTAGGACTGCTCTCTGGAGTCTCTTGACCTAGTGCCTGAAAATTGATTTACCCTGTGGCATTAGCTGCCTCTCATGGCGTGTCAGCTTTGCCTTGAAAAGCAGGAAGGATCAGACCAGGAGCAGTAGCAGTAGTAAAAGCACTGTCTATTACTCTTATCAAGGGGCAATAGGAAGAGGATCAATGTAAGGTACTTAATGTAAGGTACTGTTTAAAGCTGCTACTCATAAAATTTCCATTAACTGCAAATGGAACAAACTAGTCCGAACCTTCAGTGATTTAATGTAGATCCCTCTTGAGATCTGTTGAAGAACTTGTGAAATATCAAGTACTTGCTGAAACAGCAAACAAAAATGCCTGTGAGGTTTGAGCAGTCACCCAGGAGCAGGACCCATGCAGTTCGGGCTGGCTTTGTGTCAGGATATTTTCCTGTTTTCACCATGGATAGGAGGCAGCCCTTCTCTGACAGCTTAGAGCTAGCAAATCCCTGGCCCATGGCAGAGCATTGATCTTTGTGAGACCTAACTTGGGTTCTAAGTGGACAATTTTCCATATGCAGTGCTCGCTATTGTACAAAGCTGGTCCGGTGGCCTAAGTAGTATCTTAACTTGTCCCTGAGCACTATGTCACTGTCATGCTAACATGTGTCAGGCAAGTAGGTTTAATTTTTTATGTCCACGCATCTTGGCTGTTCAAAAAAATATCAATTTTAACTGTTCCCTTTAGTCATTCTTTAGTTTTCATCATTACCCTTCCTCCTGAAAGAGCAGTCAGCTAAGCCTAACTGCTTTGGCTGTGCTGTGTCTCAGAGCAGACACATGGCCAGCTCTTACAGCTCACTTAGCACAGGGGACCTTTTAGCAGTACAGTGTGCTGGCCATTTTTTAGAGTTGCCCCTGCCACGAGGGTGTTCTAGGTCTTATTGCTCACTGGGCAATGAACAGGTTGAGGAAGAGGGAAAAATCCCCATTTGTGTTCAGCAGTGGCTGACGGCTTCCTCAGACACGAGATCACACATGCTTTGTAAGCATGAGTGCAACCACTGAAATGGAGAATCCATTTCTAATCTCTTACTCTTCTCCTGCAATGAATTGTCCTGCTTAATTTTATGTTGTATTAAAATATCCAGTTAATCAGTTTTTAATGTCTCTAAATGCAGCCTTGTGATTTCATTAACTGTCTCTTCTTCTCTGTGTTGCGAGAGAGCACTTGATTTACCCTGCCTGTACACTCCATTGCTTTGGGTTCTTCTGGCATGTCCCAAATTAGTTAATCACTAAGGTGAACTGCATCAGTCTATTTAATTTTTGCTCACAGAGGACTCTCTGTTTCCCTAACAATGCTCATTGTATTCCTCTTAGACTCTTCCTGTCTCTGCTCTTATGGTTCTGGAAGAATACTTGTGGGTTTATAGCATCATTATAGTTATCTCTGTGTTCTGTTGCAGTCTCTGGCATTTGTCTGTGTTCCGGATAGCTTTGCACATGCATCATTGTTTTGTAAGATTCTGTTACATCAATAGAGCACTGCAAGTCAAGTTTTGCAGGGCAGTGGGTGTAGATTTGAAAGCAGTCACAACATTGGTGGTTGACTATATTTAGTTGCTGGTTTAGTCTCATGTTTCCACAGTCACTTCACACATTACTTCATTGACTGGAATGGAAACTGAACTGAGCCTTTTAGTGGAATTATTAGTAAGGATAAAGTAGTTCACACAAGCAGCCTTGTCAAATTCAAATTGCCTTGATTTATGGTTAATAATCTAGGCTCAGTCATTTAGAAGGATGTTTAAAAAAAAGTTGGAGGTATTGACAAAGTTTTTAAAAACAGTTCTTTGCTGAAAGAGACTTCTGGAAATAATAGAACAGTAAATGGTTTAAAAATATGTGTGTTTTTTAAATTATTGAGTAAATAATAACTGTAGGATCAGTAGAAGTTGCAGAAAGGTACTCTGTATTTCTTTTGTCTTTTGTGAAGTGTGGGCCAAAATACTATTGTTATTTAAAGATTCATGGATTTTAGAAAGCATCAACCAGATAATATTATATGTTGATATTATTTATATTATTTTAAATTTTTCTAAATTCTGGATATACTGCAATTATAGTCCTGTGCCAGTATAGTAAAAGACATGAAACAAGCATGGTGGAATCTTAGTCTAAAAAAAAAAAGTTAAAGTATGAACATCTCTCCCATTGTGTTGAGGAGAATTGGGGAAGGCAGTATTTTGTCATAATACGTAAATAAAAATGCAGTATGCAAAATTCCTGCTTTTTGTTACCTATTTTTGTCCTTCCCTGTCACATACATGCACTGTTTTTCAGACAAACATTCCTTTTTATTTTTTTTTTTTAAGTTATTAGTGCTGAGTCTTGTTTTTCTCTTACAGTTTTTTTGTACCGTATTCTGTACCATTTCATCAGCTGCATCTCGTGGGCAAAGAATGAATATGTTCCTGTAGCCCCTATAAGATGTCCTCAAGCAGCAGAAAGGTTCATATATCCCATATGGAGCTTTGTGGCTTCAGGTGAGAAAGAATTTATTGAAGCAGATGAATTTTGCAAGTGAACTGATTTTATGCAAATGTACCAATGAAAGTTCGTGATTCAAATGTCTGTGGGCTAAATTATAGGAAAAGTGTTTCTTGGTTAAAAATTCTTCATGAAGAACTTTAAAATACATTATGAAACAAGAACTGGTAAAATGAATCTCAAACTACTGTAAAGCAGTTTGAAATATAACACTATTTTTTTCCTTACTATTACTGTTTCCAATTTTACTTATTTATTGATTTTTGTTATTAATTTTTTTTTGGTCTTCAGGTCAGTTGTTTTTAGTATCCCTCTCTATAGCTTTTGCACCAGTTAACCTAAGGTGTTTTATTTAAAATATCCTAAAATGCATAGGGTATTGCCATGTTTAATTACAAGGAGTTTTCACTGGATTGGGAGTAGATGTGGTGTTTTGACTGCTCTGGCAGAGAGATTACTTTTCCAGTTCCCTCTTCTGGTCAGATGATTCAGAGTGGAAGTTACTAATAAGGTGAGATTAACATATTGCTGTAACAACTTATGTGGACTCCCTGTGGAATAAAGCCTTGTTTTACGCAGTGAATATAAAAATATTGAAATATATCTGTCTATTCTTCAAAAAAGAAAGAATTTAAAATTAATACAGCCCAGACAATGTGCCTGTACACTCTTTTTAACAACTTACCTCTAAAAGAAAAGTTACTTGGCTAATGAGATGCAGTAATAATTCCTGATCTCTCTTGTTTGGTTTGGGGCTTTTTCATTTTGTTTTTCTTTTAATTTTTTAAGCATGGAACTTCATCTCTTGCATATTGCACTGGTGTTTTCCACAGTGGTTTTTAAAACTGGGTTACATCTTCAGCTGATTATATTGCAAAGTTTATTTTTAGATTAGTTTTTTATCACTGCTGGAGAATTATACAAAAAAAATTAGACACATTGAGATTTTTTTTTTCTTTGTATACTGTAATACTCAGAAATAGTTTTGCACATGGGAAAGGATTAAAATAGCAACAAGAAAATACTAAGTGCTGTGTGTAAGCCTTTCTTTGTGGGTGTGCTGGTTTAAAGGTAAACCGGCAGGGGAAATGAATCCAACTCAAAGGAGAGATTATAAGTCAGAGTAACAATTTAATAAAATAATACAGTAAATACGATTATACAGACAAACAGTTGGTTTTAACCCACAAAACCCAAATGTATAACCCAGCACCCTGGGGCATGAACAGAGTGGTGTTCGTTGGGCCCCCTGAGTCCAAAGTAAAAGGAGAGGGAAAAAAAACTGTTGGTGAGAGTGGTGGTTGCAGTCTGGTCAAGAGTGGTAATTGCAGTCTGGTTGAGAGTGGTGGTCTGCAGTCTTCCTCTGGGTCCCACGAGTGGTTAAAAAAGTCCCAAGACTCCAAGATTATATATCCTCCGGTTCAGGCAGGAATGCCCAGTACCTCCCTCAGGGCAGGGAGTTCCACAGTGGGTGCAAGGAAAGGAGCATCCTCCTGTCTCACAGGCCTCTTAACACCCAGTTTGTAGCCTGAGGAGTCAGGCTGCTCTGGGCAGAGGGTGTAAATGGTCTATTGATACCAGTTTCTGGGCAATGGCATGGAAGGCTATAGAATACCCAGTTTTGGGTTACACCCATCCAGTGATGAACTGGTCCCAGCTGTTCTAACTAGGACAGTGGGGTATCATGAAACCACGCGAATTTCAGGGCAAAGATTGCACAACGGAAGTTCTTGACCAATATTCAAGAAGACACTGTGGTACAAAACCTGTAATTTAAGAAAAGAAGCATAAAAAGTACGTATCATATTTGTGGTTATCACACAGCAGTATCCAAATATTGCAAATTTTCATCTTTGAATACTCTTCTCAGTTATAAAGCAGAAAGTATTCAAATTTATCTGATTACTTTCTCGTAAAAGTCCAACTGGAACAATTAGTTCATTTTACTATTTACTGCTGACATTGCACTTTTCTAGTAACTAGTGCCCCAAAGTACAGTTTGCTGAAATCAATAGCAGTATATCCATTAACTGTGAGGTTACAGATCAGTCTCTGAAACAGTTTTAACATGATTTGTTATATATGCTCTGTCAGTCATTCCAGAGTTACAAGGTTCTGCAAGATTTTGTGCCTCTGCCATTTCACCCTGTCAGCACAGTAGTGGATAGGGACAACTGTCACAGTATTTCTAGATCCTCTTTAGAAAATGATTGATGTAATTTCTTAAAGGAGATATACTCTCTTAAGCAGCCATCAGTCTTTCAAAACATGAAATCACTGATGGAATATTAAGATTCTGAGATCATATGAGTGCTGACAGGAAGGTTTGGAGAAAAGTACAAGAACTTTACATTTTATTCTGATGGTCATGGTGGCTTCCAAGCCTTGTTCTGTGTATTTCAGTTTGATTTAACCCTGATTAGAATCCATTGGGTTATTTGCTCTGAGGCATGTCATGCTTAGAGCATGGGTAACACAGTAAAGCCAACCTCAGGGTGTTTGGTAGAAGAGCTGGACACATTAAAAATGCCAAAATTCAGTTTCATGGTGGTTTAGGATAAAAGCTTTGGAATTCTTCTGTGAAGGAGAGCAAAGCTTCAGTGCAGTCTTTGCTGCAACAAACAAAACCAAAGATAGGAGAATGAGAATAAGAGTTCTGGGAAGAAATCCAGCAAGGTGTATTGTAGCTGAAAGATGCTTTTTTTACAGAAAATGAGGTTGTTAACCCCATTAAGGTGTGGAGCCACAATCCCAAAGGACTCCTAAGAAGGGGCAATCCTAGGGCTGATAACATATGTGCTCTTTCCAGGGGATAGGCTGATAACCTATAAACTCTTCCCTAAAGGCAAGGAAGGAGGGAGGGGGTTTGGGGATGGCAGCTGGTGAGTTGTTAGAAATCTCTAGAGGTCAAGAAACTAATTTTTTTATTGCTACATTAGCTGCCAGGTCACTGGGAGAATCTTTTAACAATTTGATAAAGCAAAATCTCTGAGAAAAAGTAATTTCTCAATTTTTACTCCTTTATTTTTATTTTTTTAATTTATTTATTTATTTATTCCTTGCCCTTACATTTGGGACTCTTCCATAGTTTCATAAAGAAGAATTCATTTTGCTTTGAGAAATAAAACCCACAGAGGGATACTCTTTTTTCCTCTCCCTGAGTGAATCTTTGTTTATGATCAATGTCTCAATTGATGATCATTAACTTATTTTCTCATTGGACATCTCATTTAAAAAGAAGACAAAGAAAGACAAAATTCATATGTGCTATTTCATTGACAGCAAATGTCAAAAATGTAGTTAGATATTCTGAACTAGGCTTTCAGTTACAAAATTCCAGACAGAAGAGAAAAATACTGAAGCTGGAAATCTAAATACCTGATTTTGCAGCTCCTTATCTATATTATAGTTCACCTACTACAAAAATTCTTGGTATCGATGTCATTATTCAAAGAATGATAGCAGTTGGGAACAAAATTTGGGTTAAATGTCTCTCTTTGCTACAGAGCTTCTGGACTGACAGTGGCATTGCAGCACAATTTCTCATGTTGGGCAGACAGGTACAGGCTGTACAGGGCCACTTGTGCCTTGACAGCAAGGAGGCAGCACCTGAGAGGTGCTGGTCAAACACATGCAGGGCTAATTGATTGCTGAGCAGCTGCACAGAGCACATTGCACCTGCTGTAATCTCTTTGTAGCCCAGTTAGTTGCTTTTCCTTCCCTCATATATCTCTGACTTCGCTGCAATTTGTCTTTGTTGTTGCAGTCCCGATAGTTTATCTTGCTGCTATGTCTTCTTTTATGAACATTCTTCCTCTGTCACTGTCTTTCAGGGACACCATCCTGAACCTTGCTCTGCACCACATGGGTATGTTAGACCTGAGCCAACCTCTCTACATTTCACAGAATAGTGAAAATGGATGAGTTTTTCACTCTTTAAATAAACAACCTGAGTTCTTGTTAAGCATTATCTACCTCTCACTGAAGGTGCAGTGCTTGCAAATCCACTCGGTGTGTGTGTGTGCAGTGTATATGTGCAGCTTTGGTGCAGGGATAACTACAGACCCCTTTGGTATGGGGGTAACCACAGACCCCTGTTTGGAGTCAGTAGCTGTTCAAAAGAGCCATGCTCATGGCTCTTGAAATGTGGCAGGATATTCTGGTTATGGTTATGCAATCTCTGCTCATGCTGTGGGAGTTGGTTTTGCAGGTTTTTGTTTACTGCCTATTTACATGCACAGATTTGGTTTTGGATTTCATACCCATACATAAATTTTAGCAAAACCAGAGCTCTTCTGCTTAGCCATCTGACTCCAGTATAAACAGACAGTGTGCAAGAGGGGATCCAAATCCTTCGGAGATTTATTGGTGCTGTTATAAACCTCAAAAATAAAAATAATGAATCAAATCCCTTCAATTGAGGACCTTTCTTAAAATGCAATGATGAATGTTGAGTTCTTTATACATCTTTTTTTCTGGTTCTGTATTACAAGGTTGGAAACTAATTTCTTAATAAGATCTGATAGGTACCTTTGGGAAGATCATCCTGGATGGAAAGTGTGCATGAAATCCAACCAGGCAAGCCAGGTAACTGCAAGAAGAGCAAGAAATAGTGGATTTTCTGTATGACCATTGGCTAGATATATAATTTACCTGGGAAATTGAGATCTTGATGAAATATAGTCTAGCTATTTGAGTAACTGTGCCTTACACTATGGTTGGGATAGTGTCTTCCAAGCATCTTATTTCTTCCCTGTGGGGAATAAGCAGGCTGAAGGCCTGGAAAGAACCAGACCTTAGCAGGTTTCGGGCCAAGCAGAGTACAGAGCAACTCATCACGGGGATGAGAGAATACTTCCATGTTTGTGTAGGTTATAAAAGGCTGCATCCTTTGAACAAAAGTGTCTCAGTTCCTCTCCCCTCTGAGTCCATGCCTTCAATATGCCATAGTCCAGATCTCTTATGGTCAGATTTCTTGCTATTAAGACAAGCAAAT